AATAATTGTATTTAAATTGTGCAATTAGAAAGCCTTTTGATACATCTACATAAGATAGATCACAAGCTTAATTAAAATCCCTATAATATCTGTAAAAGTCTGCAGCAACATTTAGAAGCACTCAGTGTTATTCAGTTATTCAGTGTCACATGGTCCTCATGTGTTGTTTAAGAAGATTGTGCCGCCTGCTCTGGATGAACAGTGCCTTTTGTCCGTCTCAACACATGATCCCTGTTAGAACTTGAATCCGATTTCTTTCTTCACCCCCAGGGAGATGTTTTCATCTTTCTGACACTCTTCACATTTTCACATTTCTGCATGGACAATTTCAAGACTCTAAGAGGTGTGGAACATGATTTGATCCTAATTACAACAAAGAATGCTTGTGTTTAAATCAGATTTTTAGGATGCTGGGGTTTAAGAGGGGAAATATTTTTGAGCATGGCGTTGGTATATTCACGAGGGTAAATGTGCTTGGGCCAAACTACATGGGATGGCTATTATAGTGGCAGAGAGGATTTAGGAGGACTTACAGTAGAAGTATCTCCTCTGTTGCACTCTGACAGAAAGCCTCTTGGTGCAGTAAGAAAAAGGAAATGCTAAAACCGTGTTCCATTGCTTAGGCTGTTGTTGCTGTGGACTCCAAATATTTGTCTCAGATCTCTATTGGTTGTTTCAAAGGGTTGGTGTTATGTTTTCAAAACTATGCTTGGATAAAACAGAACCCATGCATAGTTTGGTACAGTTTCCTGTAGCTTTCGAACCACATCATATCAGCATTGAATTCCCCTGTTGCCACTGTTCTGATATCTGATAAGATAAACACGTTGAAGGCTTGCATGCAAATTAGCAATTCCATAACATAAGAATCCAGGTGGTTGTCATGAGAGGCAAACATAGATGAATAATAAACTCTCCCTCAGTGTGCTGGTTGTTCTTAGTACACTGAAAAAGTGACTTTTTGTCCAGTAAATATTACCTCGTTATTATGCAATTTACTGCAAATTGTTACGCAAGTCTCTTTACTTCAAAATGACACCTTTTATTTAATGACTTGGAATTCATTTGTAAATCTATATCCATCAAAATATAAGTAAATACAATTCATCTTACCAAATATTACTAACAAAACAACTTGCATGTAATACGTACTAGGATATAAGGAGTAAACTTGGTGCTTTTTTCCTTGCCAGACCATGTTTAGGTCAGAAATGGAAAATATTGTTTACTTGTTGTGTGGTTTGTTGCATTTTTGCCTTGCAACAAGAAGGTTCTGGGTTTGATTCCCAGTCCAGGGTCTTTCTGCATGGTTTGCATGTTCTCCCCACGCATAGAGGGGTTCTCTCCGGGTACTCTCATCTACTCCCACTGTCCCAAACATGACTGTTAGGTTCATTGACTTCTCTTAATTATCCTTGTGTGTTTGGCCGCATGTCTCTGTGCTTTCCTGCTTAAAATTTACTAGCAAAACAAAACATCTTTTTCTGATAAGGTTAATTTGGTAGTGAAATGTACTTTAGTTTGTTTGTTAAAGCAACTCTTCTTAGTAAGTAAATTCAACTTAGATTTTTATTGAGTAAAATTTACATAAAATTTCTATGTGGAAAAAGTTACCTAGCTTTTTCTAAATGTTTTTCAGTGTATAGCCGTTCTGACCCGTTTTCTGTGTAAATATGTATTTCATAGGGTGGTAAGATCTCTGTTTCTGCTATTATGGTGCATGAGTGGTTTGGAAGGTTAACCGGTCATTTCTGGATTGAAAATCAAAAAAATAAAGCTCTCAGTTTGAATGACGCTGTCTTGTTGCCATTTATTGTCAACTGAAAATAAAACATGTTTCCACGGTTTCATAGTGATGCGTGATGTGATGATGCTATCTATTACTGTCTGTTTGCATAAACAGCAGCTCCTCTCTTATTTTGGCCCATTTACTTTTCAATTTCCTGGTTTAGCCTTGTTAGCCTGCAGGGGGCTGATGATGCGCAGAAAATAATATTCAGCCCATATAGACAAGGTTTTATTGGAAAGACATCTGTTTGTCATGAGTAATCAAGCTTGCTCTTTTATTTTTGTTAATTTATCAAAATGCAGTGTTTGGAGGACAGTGTTTTCTGTGTGCATGTGTGCTGTCATACAGACTTCCTGTCTGTTGGGCTGGGACTACCACAGCTTCCCTTTCTGTCATCATCTGCCGCTCTTTTTAGTCAGTGTTGTAGTTACGCTCCGCTGCAGGTTTGGAACCTGACTAATGACTTCAGGACTCTAACAGAAGTGTTAATCCTGACCAAGGTAAGAATTTTCATGGTAGAAGTTTGTTTTAATTGCAGTTACACATCTCTGTTTAGTTCAAAAGACCTGGAGGGTAAAAGGTTATCTATACTTACGGCTGTCAAACAGTTGGGTAACACCCTGTTCAGAAACGGGCTAATGATAGCAAGCGAGTATGGAAGTCAGTCTGCAGGTGTATCATATACAGTAACATTGATACCTATCTGCTGTGGTTCAAACTTTAAATCTCCTAAAGTTTCTAAGGTATTTGCATTGCTTTTTTGTGATGTGGAAAGAGGATAATTCATTAGTTTGTAGTTCCGGTGAGTCACTAGTTCAGAGAATTACTCCATCAGTTACAGCTGGATCTTCTATGGTATATTTTCCCTGGCGTTGAACAGGTAAAGATTGAAATTCTTGCCCAGTCTTCTTTGCAAAGCAGCTGATCTTCAGCCCGATTGGGTGAAGAGTATCTAAACAGTTATTTTAAAGAGTTTTCCTTTGGTTTTAAATCTGGACTTTGACTAGGCCATTCAAACACAATGATAGCAGTCTTATATCCAAAGTTGTAGCTGTGTGTGTTTATGTATAGCTCTAAGGGTGATTTTCTAATAAGGTTCCTTCCAGACTTCACCTATTTTTAGCTCCACTATTTTCCTATCAACTCTGCTTAAGAAAAGCATCCATACAGCAAAATGCTGCAACCACCTGTTTCTGGAACCGTGTCTGATCAGGGTGATGTGTGGCTTCATTATGAATGAAGGCCAGTAAATATTATTTTGGTCTCATCAGACCAGAGCAACGTCTTGCAAATTTAAACTCTGTGTCTTTTATTCTTTGAAGCAAAACCGTAAATAAAACTTCTTCTTCTAAAACTTTTTTTTAAATATTGATTTTATGATCTACCTGCCCAACCGTTCAGTTTAGATCAGCCACTGTTTCTTGCTTGATTGGACTTTTAAAGAGTTTTTTATGACTAAACCTCAAAAAAAATTTCCAACTTCATCCGTAATCCGTCTGCTTTGACCCTCAGTCTTAACGATGCTATTTGTTCCCTAAACCTTTTGAACTATCCTCTGAAAACCCCACAGCTCTGCTGTAGTTACACTAGGCAAAATATGATGCGTGACTAGACTATATTTAATAGATAAATACATTCTGAGGGCAGCTAGGTGCATTTGACTTATTATTTGTATTTGGTAGGTTTATATGTTTAAGGAAAATGTTTGTTTTTTTACAACAAAAAACATTTTTGGTTGTGTTCATACTGTAGGTATATTTTTCAATCCAATCAAACTTTATTTGTTAAGTATTTATAAAACAACCACAGCTATACAGAAAAAATACATAAAACATTACAGATAAAAAAAACAGTTAAAACATTGATAAAAGTAACATTCACATGATCAAAGCAATAACATTGGGCAAAAGATGAAAGGAATAAAATAATAAAATAAAAAAAATAAAGCCCTCTATCTTGCTAGGTGCCAAAAGCCAAAGCGAAAAGGTGGGTTTGGACAAAATATTTAAAAACCATTAGAGAAGAGGCCTTCCTCATATGCTGCTGGTCATTCCAGAGCTTTGGAGCGGCAACAGTAAGAGCCCAGTCTCCTCTGTGCTTCTGCATAGTTCTTAAAATTGAATAAGTCAGAGCGTTGGCACAGTAAGGAGTAAAACTGGGGTTTGCTATTCTGCATTATTATAAGAACACTTATAGCATTATAAGAATCTTTACCAAATCAAATCACAGTACTGCTTTAAGTTGCCATGGTCTTCTTGTATGCGCCGATCCAGCAAGTATGACCATGAAGTTTTAAAGCAACTGAGACCAGGTTGCTCCCTCTGCATATGATTCTTCCTGGAATGAGCTGTCATATATCTGTTCAAAGATTTTACTAAGCAGTCTGGGCTGTTAAATGTGCTGGCGTTGTGTTTTCTTCTGTTTGAATCCGCTGTAGAGTTGAGCATTTGTGTATTTAATCTTGTGTAATCTCAGTGAATGAGCAGCAGGACGTATTAGTTGGATTACATGTGCCTAAGATTAACTACAAAAGCATCTGTTAAAGACTCAACCGTTGGCATGACTACGGCAAATACTAATGGGTTTAATGTTGCCCTTTCATTATGTGTCACTGCTGTGCAACCAAAGATCATTGCTGCTCTTACTGTTGTATCAACAACTAATGTTATGGCTACATGAATCAATATAGCAGTATGATAAAAGGCCGGAAACAATCAGATTAATCGCTATCAATCGATCGTTGAAATATTCGTTAACTAATTTAGTAATCGATTAATTGTTAAGTTGAGTTTGCAGTTAGCTGAAAGAGAGAACACGCTGTTAGCATGCATTAAGGAGAGCAGACAAATTTTATATTTAGTTCTTTCAATGTTCTGTTTCTTTGTCTTGAATCATATTTTTGGTTTTTATGAGAATTTGAGTATAGGACTATAGTTGGACAGTGCATATCCTGTGTGTTTCCATGTTCCATATTATTTTATATTCTGCTTGATTTTGTTTTTTTTTAAAAGCTCCCAACTAATAATACATTATACAAAAATATTGTACTCATTCAGTCTGTAACTAAATGACTTCTAAATCCACTCTGTAACATTGAGCTGCTTTGATTTTCTAACACAGATCATGTGCATTAGGAATTTTAGAAATGTATGCAAAATGACAATATTCATATAATTTATTTTCTCTGTTTTATCTGATCTGTGTTTTTTAGCCATGGCTCGTAGGAGTTCCCGCCTGGTGTCTGGTGGCTACTATAATTCAGATGAGGAATCGGATTCAAGTAGTGTGACCAATATATCCTACAGAGAAAACCCTGTCAAGTAAGGATATTGTTTATTTTCATCTTTGTCAAAGCACGGATTCTGGTTTGGGAATCCAACGGATGATGTGACTCACACATGTAAACATTTTTGTTGTGCTTCTTTGTTTGTTTAGGGTTTTCAAGAAGAAGTCGGGGGCCCGGAAGTCTGCGTCCCGCACTAACAGCAATGCCAGTTCTGCCCCTGAGACTCCAGTCACTCCAGGCCAGTATAGCACCCACATGTAGACTCTATCACTTTAAACATTCAGATGATAGGCAGATTATATTTGTAGGACACCTTTTATATAGTTAAATGCAACATAAAAGTGTTTCACATTTTAGAAACTAAAATAGTTCCAAAAAAAACACATTCAGAAATTCGATACCGACTTGCAGCTGTGGTGACTAATCATTCTGTCATCAGTGAAAAAAATAATTTATAATTGCAGAGTTGACTAATATATAATAATAATATAATATAGCCTAATGAAATGGACAATTGCTTCTGAGTAACAACAAATGTAGTCATTTAGTGAAAGACTAGATTTGGATGACAGCTGATTATGCAAGACTCCTATGTCAAGTCTGTAGCACTCATGAAATGTGTTCGTACCTGAGAGAAGATTGTAAATATCAGAAAATGATGAATGCAACATTTTCTCCTAAATCACTCAGAAACGATTTAAGAACAAATGTGCGTATAAACACTACTAGCATATGGCTCAATATGTCTAGTATTATGTAAAACAGATGATAGACTATCATGTTTTAGGGTGAGATAACCTGTTGACAGATCTGGGCACCATGCAAAAGAGGCAAGGAGTAATTTATTGTTAAAAAAAAAAAACGTACAAACTCCCAAATGTTGTTTTTATTTATTAAGAGAAACTGCCTAAAATGTAGGCAGTTATCATTCTACCTCCAAACTGAACACAGTATTAAAGTCTCTTAATTTTAATAATATCAATGGTAGGCCTAGATTTTAGGTTTTTTTTTTAACTTCCTTTTAGGGCTGAAACAATTAATCAGATTAATTGCTTATTTAAATAATTGTCAACTAATTTAGTAATCGATTAATCGTTAACTGGGGTCTAGAGACTCTAAGACATGCCTTTACCTGACAGGGCAATCCACCTAGAGCAGTAATTAGATCGAAATCATAGAAAAAATATATATAAACATTTTGCATTTAGAATCAAAAAATATTTGTCATGTCAATGTTCTCTATCTAGAACTTCTCAAGTGGAAAAGTTTTAGTTTAATTTATTAAATCTTATTTAAGGAACCTTTACTATCCGATTATTAATTGATTAATTGAAAAATTGATTTGCAAAATAATCATTAGCTGCAGCCCTTATCCCATTTGTCTGTCCCTTTTATTCATCGTATCTTCATCTTCCTAATAATTTTGGTTTTTAGTTTTGGATATTTGGGAAATTTAGTTGCGCCAGGAATTTAAGCTTTAGTATTCCTTTTACAATCCTGCAAAAAATATAAAGGGAATTCAAAGCATGTGGGACAGATTTTGAAGCTAGACATTTAGGCTATATGTCAGGTGCTGATAAGTCTTCTCCTGAAATTCCAACCTGTAAACATAGATGTGCTGATCACTTATTCATGTCAACATATTCACATTTTGATCTCTAGAAAAAAAAGTGTAAAACCAGCAGATCATTTTCTTCAGATTAGGTTCCGATTGTCTGTACTGTGAAATTTAAATCTATTTAAATATTTTTTCATGGCACAGCATGAGTTTCTTGCCAACATCTGACTTCTTGTCTTTGTTTCCTTACAGGTCTGAGTCCAGTAAGCAGCCCTCTAAGAAGTCCCCCTCAGCCCACCATCAGAACCGTCCCTGACCCCCCTGCTGCTCCAACCCATCGGCCAGCTCTGACTCCATCATCCACCAATTGTCACATGCGATGCCATTCCAAAACCCCAGAGAAGAGCTCTCATGCTGGCCCCCACAGCTCTGGTCTGCTGGGTTTACACAAACACAAGGAGCCAGGTCAGAGTGGTGTGGACAGCTCAGGGTACTCTTCATCTGAGGGCCAATACGGGAAGCCTTTACCTGTCACCAGTACACCAAGGAGAACCAGCAGCAGTAGCGGTGCAGCTCTTGGTCTAGGATTCAAAAGCAGAATCAGTGATGCCTTTTTCCATCTAATGGGTGAGAACTACATCTTTTCTGCGTGAAGCCTTGTATTCCTGGATAATTCAAATGAAATGATTTTTCTGTACTTTGTGACAGATTCAGCCTCAGTGATGGCAGCGAATGCGCACAAAAAAGTCCTTCATGTCACATCTACAGGTTTGTTTTGTTTTTCAGTTTGTCTTCATATATTTTTTCTCATAAAAGTTTTTCTTGGAAATGTTTTCATTCTGTCTACATGCAACATGTTTTTTGCATATATGCCCTTTTACATCCTAGCGTGTCTGTGAAAATCATTCTCGTCCTTGCAGCTAATGCATCAGTCAGTAAGCGGATGAAAAAGGCTTGTGGTCTGGCTCTCCTGCTAGTCTTAATACTTCAGTGTAAGTAACATCAATATTCAGCCTTCCTGTTGTCTGGTTAATGTTCCAACCGCATGGTAAAATGAACTCATCTGTCAAGGAAATTGATGGAGATTTCTGCAATTTGAATCACTGTTTGCCATTTGTGATTTTTTTTTTTTTTTACTGAAAGTAGAACACACCCTTTTGCAACCTGCACGCTCTGCCAGAGCTACTGTCGTGTGAATGGTATAGGTTTATCAAGAGCAGGGTTTTCCCCAGGAAATCAGAGTAGGTGGTGGGTTCAGCCGTGCTTCGTGTGCCACCTCACTGGGACTGAGTGTGTCACGCAAAAGCTAAACGTCTCTGATCTTGGGGATCAGCTAATTTGATCTGAAGTATTGTCCCTCCTGTTTATTTTTTTTTTTCAGGTCTTTGGTTGCTCCTTCCTTTGTTCACCTCTTTCATCTCCCTCATGACCACAAAGTCTCCATCACAAACACAACCCAAGGTTCAGCCTGTTATCCCAACTCCCAACGTTCCTCCTCAACCCAACATCATACCCTCACCTGTGCTGGTACGGCTCAACTACAGCTTGTGCACATCTCACTGTCTGTCTTGGTTAATGTGATTTCTACTTTTCTGTAAAATTGATTCTCCCATTTTACAGATTTGTTCTGTAAGACACGAAAGAATGTTAAATCCCCAAACAAATTGTGATAATGGGGAGTAAACAGCATATAAAAAAGGCTATTATTGCATTAGTTTTGGGGAGGAACTCTTTTCATATATTAACTTTTTGTAAACATAAATTTTTTTTATTATTTTTTTAACAGTGTCCTGTCTGGCAATGTGGCAATAAGAATAATTGTCTTGATGCCAAAAAGAGCCCAACAGATTTTACTATCACAAGTGTAGCAGTATGGCAGTTGCCATATTGCTCCACTTGTTTCATGCATATAAATTGCTTTATTATAATTATGCAGGGAGTTTTACAGTTTATATGGACACTGCAATGTAAATATAACAGAAGAAGAAAAAGAAAAGAAAAAAAAAAGAAAGCGTTTCAAATGGAAACTTGAATTTAACTTTAGTGCAGACCTCATTTTCCCACAGTTACAGTCAGAGTTCTAAGTAGTGAAAATCAAGGATGACCAAATTCAGTACTTTACATTTTTAATGAAGCAACTTGATGTACCACAGTTTAAACCTCTGCAAAGCATTAGTTAAAGGTATAGTGGATGGCTTCCTTTTTCCAGGTGGATCATCAAAATACTAATTGTCAATCATTCTAGTGATACGTTTACGTAAGGCCTTCTTATGTACTCGTCCCCATTTTCACTTACCGGTGGTGAGTCTGACATAGAGGACAAATTGCAAATCTTCTTTTGGAAAGTAAGCTTGTATGAGCGATACAAACAGCAACTATTAATCAGAGCGTGCACGAGGAGAATTGGGCTCGCACATGCTCTCGCACACGTTTAAAAGGCGTTGCCTCTTGGGAGCAGGTACAGGGTTGTACATGAGCATTTTTTTTTAAGAGGGTGGGTCTTTTCAAACATTTTCGAAAATCCTTTATTTTACCTTTAATTATATTTATTAATGTTTCATTTCCACAATCAAACATGGAGGTGTTAGTATTACAGTCTGGGCTACTTCAAGACTGATTAATTGCTGTAATGACTCATGAAATCTGCTTTCTTGCTGAAAATGCTGACGAGAATGTTTGTCCATTTGCTTTTGGCAATAAGATCAAGCTCACTTAGATATTTCAGCAAGACAGTAAAAGCAAATTAGTCCCCCTTTAAATGGCTAAAACAAATGACTAAACTTTTTTTTGAGTAGCCTTGTCAAATTGAAAATTTATTTATTCAAATGCCCTCAATTGTAATGTCTTTGTTTCCAAATAGAAGCTGGTTTTTGCATTGATTCTAAGAAAAATGGATTGTTGGTCTCATTGTCGCAAAAGTGTCATGTGTTTTAGGTTTGCTCACACTGCTTTTGTTGTCTTGTTTTCCACCTTCATATGATTTAAAGTCATCTTTCTTTTTAACCAGGATCCAGTTGTAATTTCTGCTGCTGTAGAAGCAAAGATGCAGCAGTTTCTGGTAAGGCACATAAACACAAAAGAATGTTTTGGTTTTCTAAACTTCCAAACTGTGATAAATGTTTGTTTTTGCCTTTTTGCAGATGGAGCTTCAGCTTAAACAAGATGAGCTTCTCTCCAAGGTTAGTTTCATTTATTTTTTTGTTCATCTTTTTTTTCTAACAGCTTATAAAACAATACAAGACAGTGATGGTATAGGATTGTGTTTTTGTTTATTAAAAATGATTAAGAGCCCGTAACATGATAAATCTCCACAGACTTGCTTTTCTAGCATTAAAGGTAATTAAATATGCATTTAAAGGGCCGTAAATGCAACTTTCTTTTTGGTGTGTTTTGTTCAAGAAACTTTAAGATTCGACTTAATGACTCCATTTCCCATGCACGCATCATGAAACAAGAAAACAGAAAATGATGCAATTTTAACTCCTGAATAAACTTTGTTTTTAACTAGACTGAAGGCACCAGGTTAAAATTCACATCAAAAAATTAGCTGAAAAAGTCTTGGCCTAATCACAATCTGATCTTAATCTGATCAACTTTTTCTATTGTTTGCAAAACAAAATCATCTAGTTAAGTTTACACTCACCTTAATGATACAATTGAGGTTACAGTATTGCGACATCTAGTGCAAAAATTATGTAATTGCAGGTTGGTAGTTTCTGTTGCTTTAGATAAACTCTGGTCCGCTATTCTTTGAATTCAGTTAATTTGGAGGATCTTCAAACCTGTGAATTTTCTAAGATCATGCCACAGTTTCCCTGTAGGATTGAAATCTGGACTATGACTAGATCGCTCCATAATTGCATTATGTGTTTGAGCCATTCATCTAAGAGGATATGAGTTAAAGGTCACTGGATAGAAAGCATACATTATAGTTGGATAAATTATTGTCATACCTCAGGTCCTATGAGCAGCATAGATACCCAGAGCATCACTCTACATCACCAAGCCTTACTCAACATTCTGCTTTTTCTAAAATGCTGCTATAGTTTGAGCACAGATGAAACGGCATACACACCTTCCTAAGGTTCCCCTATTGTTTAGCTAGACTGATATATATATATATATATATATATATATATATATATATATATATATATATATATATATATATATATATATATATATATTTTTTTTTTTTTTTTTTTGTGTGTGTGTGTGTTCCAGGGATCATCAAGTTTTTTCCCTGTTAAACGTACAACAGGCCCTTTGGGTTTGTTTTTTTTTACCAACAGGTTTTTCTGTTGTAGGACTGCTGGATGTTAATTCCAGTTTCTCTTTTTGAGTCATGAGTTAGATGAGACCTGCTCCACTTTAGTGTCCTTCTGAGTTCTTTTATAACCTCCTTCATTGGTCATCAGTTACTCCTGGAGTTGTTTTGGCAGACTAACTGCCCCTGGAAGTGTTTACCACTGCTCTGGGGCTTCTCCATTTATGGACGTTGCTTCTTATGAGATTTACTGGAGTCCCACTGCTTTATGAAGTGGTAAAACCCTTCCAGACTGAAAGCTTTTCCCCACTTTATAAGGACTCTATTTCTCATTTAATTTTGAATTTCTTTTTTATTTTACATTAAGAAATCACATATTTCTATTGGGATTTGCTTACTTCAAGTTGTTAGACAGGTGCTGTTTAACTGATTTTAAAGGAGTAATCTGGGCTGCATATGACCAGAAACCAAGCTCTGCTCTTAGAAAACGTTGGTTAATCATAGTTAATTCATAACTGAACTTGAAGGATGATTACTCATTCCACATAGTGCCAACTTAGTTTAGATGTTCCTTTCCCCAATTAAATAAAAACTGCATTTTGTCTATATCTAAGTGTATTATAATCTTTAAATTGTCTGAAGCATAACAGTAATTAAATAAGTTCAAACAGCATTAATCTGTATTGGGGGGTCCTTTTTCTTAGCATTCTGTGTGTAGCTCCAGATTACAGGAGTCACATTAAAAAGCTACATTTTGTTTTCACAGCAAGGAGCAGTATTCACAATCACCAATTTACTTCCAGATCTATATGATGACAATCTCTGGTTACACTATACCTCTTCAGAAATCTGTTCAACTCCTTTATATACTTTTTCCCCTTAGCTGAAGGAGAAACATCAACTGGACGTGGATTTTATGAAAGCAAAATTGGAGGCTGCGGACTCAGACATTCGCCGTAACCTGGAGAAGGAGATTTCTGGTCTGGGAAAACAGATAGCAGATTACCAGACAGACAGCCGCTCTGCTACTGCTAGCCTCAGCTCCAAGATCCAAACTCTGGAGACCCAGAATGCTAAGGTAACAAAGTTGATGTATTTATGTCTAAACAACAAACTACACAAAGAAGTTAGATTCTGTGTTTCTGTTTGTTCTTCTCATGATTTCTCTGTGTCCTCTGTTTTTTAGCTGTCCCAGGAGCTATCATCCATCCAGATAGCAGCCACTCCAACCCCTTGTCCTGAAACCGACACCCTCTCCGTCCACAATCAACTCACACCAGAGCTCCAACAGGCCTTGGAGAAGTGGTTTACTGATCGTATCAAGGTATGTGGTGCGTAAATAATCACAAAACTATAAAATCAAAAATGTTACTTACAGGTTGCTCCAATTGTCAACCAGGAACAGGATGCAGTCATGGTTGGAGACAAAGGAGGCTGCTCAGAGTGCAGACGTCCCATGGCAGACAAGATGGCAGACTTTGCTCTTGAGACTCAAGGTGTGAAGACTAATTTAATACCTGCTGCAAGTATCTCCATGTCCTTAAATGAGTTATCATTATGTCCAACAATTAGTGTTTGTTACAAATACATTCTGCTGTTTGTAACTGATGTATTTTGTAATTGTAGACAGAAATGGATCTAAGTTTGATTTCATGTCATGATTTTCATTTAGTTTGTTCATCTTATTTATTCTGTGTGTGCCTTAAGGTGCCAGCATTGTCAGCACACGGTGTTCAGAGACGTATCGCATTCGATCAGCATGTGTGACTCTTTTTGGTTTTCCTCTCTGGTATCCATCTGAAAGCCCACGGACTGTCATCCAGGTACAGATTTCCGTGTTTGCTTCGTAGGGAAAGACGAGCATTCCCAGGGTTGCTAACAAGCCTGCCGTCTCCTTCCATCCCAGGGTTACCCGGTTCTCCTTCCAGGGAAATGTTGGGCATTCCACGGAGTCCAAGGCAACCTGGTCATCTCTCTGTCACACCCCATCACCATAAGTCATGTGACTCTGGACCACCTGCCACGCTACAACTCCCCCACCGGCCACATCAACTCTGCACCGAAAGACTTTGAAGTCTATGTGAGTGTTTTGATGGTCCACAACAGCAGCACTTGGACTACAAAGTAAAAAAAAAAAAAACGTTCATATTTGGAAAATGATGGAACATTGAATCCTACAATGTCCCTATCACTCATCTCTAAATAAAGAGCTTAACCTCTAGTGTTGACAAAGTCAGTGTCCTCACCTGCAAAGTGTTATGGATCATTTGGACTTGCTATCATCATCCATCGTATTGATTCACCTTTATATCTCAAAAAGGACCCACAATTAGAGCAACTTTCTGAAGCTTTAAGGTCATGCTTGTTTCTTTCTCTGTCAGGGGTTGAAAAACGACACAGAAGAAGGAACTCTGCTTGGGACGTTTACTTACGAGGAAAACGGAGGGTCAACTCAGACATTTAAACTACCTGTAAGTCCAATCTCCTCTATATAAACATAATCATAAGGCTCTAACACAGTGATTAGTCTAGATGGGGGGTACATTCTCAAAGAATGTAACCATTTAAAATGGTTTCTCAGATTTGGAAATGAGACATTGAAATCATCCAGAGTTGTTTGGTTGTTTAGACGACCTATTGTCTTGATTTTACCTGAATGCTGTTAGGAAAACCCCAGCTAATTAAAGTACACTCCTCCAAATTGCAGGTTTTATGACAGCGTGGCTGTCAGCAGAGGCTTCTTTCCTACTTGTGATGTTTACATTCTGCTTGATGTGATTAATTCAAATGCGTGCAAATTGGAATACTTAGCTTATTTCTATTGGTAAATGCTAAAACACTTTGTATTTTCTCCACTGTAGCTGCATGAGAAAACGTCCCACATGGCAAACATTAGCTGCTGTCACTTTTTTTTAAGTTGTGCAGTTGAACATTGCATTATTTTCTCACAAAAAGCCTTGGAATGTAATATTCCACTAATCATTACTAATCCCTCTGCCTGTTCTTTCTTTCTCACACAGACCCCCAACGACGCAGTGTATCGGTTTGTTGAGCTGCGAGTTCTCTCTAACTGGGGTCACGCCGAGTACACATGCCTGTACCGCTTCCGTGTTCATGGAAAGATCGCCTCCACATAGGCGTACCTCTGCATCACTCGCCTAAAGACACGAAAGTTCTCATTTTAAGTCTGATGAGTTGCAGACCAAGTGATCCTGAAAAGCTGTGGAGTATTGTTACTCATGTGACACAGCTGTATGGAAAACAGCAGGTATTTGATTTGTTTTTTTTTGTGGTTTCATCCAGTAATGCTGAAGTTACAGACATCATTGGGAAGCTAATTGTGCAGTGCACATTTGGCTTTTCAGTTCTAAGATTAAAGGTATAACAAAAAATCTACCTAGTTAGAGCTTTGAACGGCATAAGATTCTGGTAACCTTATGCTTGTAATCCTGCCACTAGATCATGTTTAATATTTTGTTACTGATCGTTTGTATTTATGAGGACTTTCCTGCTGCATAGGCCTCCAATGCATATATGAGAACTTTTCTAGTTGTACCTTAATTAGTAGTATCCAGACTGAATAAATCTGAAAAAAATAACATTTTTACTTTTTCTAAAATGCAGCTTATAACTAATTACAGGTTACAGATTATGTTGAACGCTAAACACATTTCAACATGTCTTCTTTTTATAAGAATAATGAAGGTCTAGTCTGTTCAAACTTTATTTGCACCTTTTTAAAAACAATCTTTGATCACTGCGGTGATATTCCCCTTTTGACTGACTTGTAAAAATAATTGAAGGCAGCAGTGAAGCATGTTTATTCAGTATTGTTTATTAATAACTTAAATTTGATTGACTATTCTACAAAGAATAATGGTATTTATGCAGCTTTTTATCATCAATTTGCACTCTTCCAGTAGACTCTAGTGTGCTGTTTTTTGTTTTATTTTTGGTACTTAAGATACTTGAATAACCTTGTTGCTAACCTCTTTTATAAGACGCCATGCTAAAGGCATGAAAGATCTCTTTCTGCTTCCTTGTACAGAGGATTTTATATGACCTTTTCAACCTGAAATGAAAGGTGTTTTTATTTGATAGACAATAATATATATGTAAATTTATATTAGATTTGCTTTGAATATTGAAAATCCTGATAAAAGTATTTTTAAAGATTCCGATGTTTCATTTCAATCTGTTAATTGGCAGGACTTTCAGCAGCTTTTTGTTGATTTATATGTTGCACAGAATATTTGAATTTGATTGAGAAGAATGTTTAATACTTTACTCTGTGATGCACTAGATGTGTTATTGTAATTTGTTTTAATTCATCGGTTCAAATTCGCACAAAACAAAAACTCAGGATCAGAATAAATGTTTTTTTTAATGTTTTGCTTTTTAATTGAAAACTTAATCAGAGAGTTTTCAATTGATGCAAAGTTTATGTTTTAAATTGTTTTGATGGCTTAATCATTACCACCCTTTATAAAAAATATTACTGCACAAAAAATTGTTTGGAATAGTTAATTTAACAGGCTCTATCTTGGTGATTACAATCTAATGGCATTTTATATATATATATATATATATATATATATATATATGTATGTATGTATGTATGTATATATATATATATATATGTGTGTATATATATATATATATATATATATATATATATATATATATATATATATATATATATATATATATTTTGCATCTTCATCCTTTTCATTCTCATATCAAACTAGGAATGAATAAAGTAAAGGAAATCTTAGTCTAAACTAAACTTTCTATTTTTATCATTTTAATAGTTTGGTTATTCATGAACACACTTTACTAAACGATGTATGTCTGTCTAAATAAAGTAATTAACTCTTAATTGTAAATCTTGTTTATTAAAGGTATTGTGGAGGACTTCTGCAAATTTTTTAAAAGACCCACCCTCTCCACTTAAAAAAAAAAAAAAAAAGCATGCTCCTGAGAGGAGACACCTATTAAACGTGTGCGAGAGCATGCACAAACCCATTTCTCCTCGTGCACGCTCTGTTTAAAAGTTGGTGTTTGCATCACTCATAAAGCTTACTTTCCAAAAGAAGATTTTTTCACTATGTCAGACTGAGTACTGGTAAGTGAAAATGGGGAGGAGCAAATAGGACAGCCTTACGTAAACATTTCACCAGAATGATTGACAATTAGATGATGCACCCGGACAGAAAACATCCTCCATTATACCTTTAACAGCATGCTGTTTTATATCTTCTTTGCTTTTTTGTTGTTTAATTTCTTGTCCTGTTCTTCCACAAAGCATTTAAATAAATAAATCTTTGATAAACATGAAAAAAATGCGTTGTTTGACTTTTTTTTTTAATTAAGTATACAGGGGAAAACTTACCAATATGTTTACATTTGAACTTCATTAATTTGTTTGTAATAATGTTTTATAAAGGACTATAACATGTGTCTATGTTTTTTAAGCCTGTATTCTTTTTTTACATATATACATTTTGAACCTCCAGCTAATTTGAAACATTTTTGTCTCATTTTGATATCAATAATTGCCATAAACACATAGTTGAAGGTCTAATGTTTCCTTTAAAAAGAAAAGATAATTGCAGGAGATCAATTATATTTGAATAAATAAGGACATTTTTGCATTAAAATAGTTGCACATGAAAAACTTTTTCGAGGAAACTGAAAAAGAATCTAAACAGTCAAACAAAATTAGTTTTCGGGGGCGAGTGCAGGTGTTACTCTTAGTGCAGCTGACTCTTTTTGAAACTTTTTCTTTCTTTTTGCGGAAGCTCAAAACTCATATTTAATCCTGTTCTCCTTCATATGGTGATACACACAAAGAGAGAAAATATGTACACTTCTCAGAGAACATTTACACAAACACATCAGTGTCCACGGTGGACTTCCCTACGTTAGTCAAAGCACTACAGTAACACCTTGCATTAGATTTCTCATTTGCCTTCCTTACATCAGCTGTTTACAGCTTGAGGTTACATCAGTAAGATGAAGCTTCAGCTGCAGCGCTAGATATGATACTCATGGGGAAATCATCATGCTGTTGGCGAAAAGTGGAAGAGTCGCTAATGCTATGCAGTAGATAGTAAATTACTGGATGTGGGAGTACAGTTCATAGAGAATAAATATATATATTTTTTTTTTATTAAAAAAAGCACAACAAAAAAAGATTTGAAAAATAAGTTTTAAGCTTGTATAAAATAAACCCGCCCTTCCATATCCATGCCACCCAATCAGCTGATATCATCTGAGCTTCTTAAGTTCTCATTATTAACCAATTATAATTTAGTTTAATGTTGTGACGATGAATCACATGATCTGAAAAGTGTCCTATCTCCAAAACTGTGCATTAGTCCTTGTAGAGGGAGCTATTTGTTCCAACAGTACCACTGCTGTGTTGAGGTAAGATGTGACACGCTTTAACAGGTTAGATATGAATAATAAACCAAAACTTTGACGTAAATTCTTCTTTCTTAGCATTTTATTTATTACCTTTCTGCTTTACAGTGAACTTTCTACAATGTCGAACAGCAGCCATTACAACAACTCTACCAGCAGCGTGGGTGGGCGCGTTCGCCCTCTGTGGTATCATTACCCAGAATGTGTGGTGGCCCCTCAGCCCTTTGTCTTCTACTTTGTGGTCAAGGTGTTCAACTTGGTCGTTGGGACGCCGGGTAACATCTTTGTCATCTGGCAAATCATTTCAAAGAAGAAGAACACCTCCACATCTGACATCTTCATCTTCAACCTGGCCGTGCTGGATGCTTACTTCTGCTTGATGAGCACAATAGAGATGGTCAACAGGCTGGAGCTGGGTGACGAGAAGATCTGGATCTTCCAAAGGTTTGCATATGGAGTGAAAGACCTGGCGCCACTCTTTCTTGTAAGTCTTTTAAAAAGATATTTAAGCGTCTTTTATTTCTTACCAAAACGAGGTCAAACAAAGGCCCTAAAAAAATAGAAGCTGAATTTAACAGACACTTGACATTCTTTCTGAATGTGTTCTAATCTTTTATTTATAAAATTATACATGTTATTAAACATCCTTTTTCAAATGAGGTTGTTAAACTAAATTACTTTTAAACGAATCCTAATCTTTTAACTTTTTGCTTTTTTTAAATTATAATCCCAGATTTCTGAGTATTCTACTTTCATTTCATGTTTCGGACCAAAGTAGAAATCAGTTGTGGAAAGAAAAAGCTTTGATCAGAAACGTTGAATTATTAGAAACCTGCTTACTGTGTCCATCCTTGACAATCCTACAACTCATGATAGGGATGGTGCTCCATACCAGTGCTAAGTACTAATACTTGTACTTGCAAAACACAACCTAATACTCTGTACTGATAGCAATAATATGTTTGACAAAGATCACAGAATCAATACAATTTAGTTTCCTAGCTGCTGCCAACAAGAGGCGCTTACCTGTTGGGGAAAAAAAAACCTTCTACCGGTACTGCAACCAAGCTGTTCTTGATCCAACATCTGACTTTGTCTGTTTAGCATTTCAGAAAAAAGATAAAAACTTTTGAAATTTGGCAAAACTTTTTTTTTAGCACCTATATCAGTACTCGGTATCAGCAAGTACTTCAATGTCAGTACCTGTACTCAATTAGAAGAAATCAGGTATCAGGACATCCCAATTGGATGATGGCAAGTCCTGTTATTTATCCAACTCAGTTGTTTTTTTCTATCTTTGCAGATTCTGTTTTGTTTTTTATTTTGTTTTTTACATAAAGTTAATTACTAACTTCAGGACAATGAAAGCGGGAGGTCTCCACCATCCAGCAAGAAATCAAAGCTTAGATCAGTGTTAGTGTGTTTAATTGGCCTAATCAAAGTTCAGACCTAAATCCAGTCAATAGTCTGGGATAAGACCTGTTTTTTGTTCTTCTATGGAGTAAACATACAACAAAAGACCTATAGCTATAACCGCAGAAAGAAGTCTTTCTATAAAGTATTGATTTGGTCAATCTAAATGGAAACCAAATTTCTTAAGAATAATCCGCAAAATGTTGATTTTTATAAAAATCCACTTAAGTTAGTGGTTCTAATGCATAAGATATGGCATCCCAAATTACAACATAAAAATGCACTGTGACTTCTCTTTAAAAGCCTAAAAATCTAGATTACATAAGAGATATGCCTATAAACAGGACTATTCTGTTTAGTTCCTTGTTACCACATTTTGGGTTGTGTGCTCTTTCCAATAAATAGTTGATGCCAGATTACTTCATTTTGATAAATACTAACTCTCTGTGTGCCCTCAGGTGTGTATCTGTGTGGATCGCTACATGGCTGTAGTACATCCCGTGTTTTTCTCTACTTACCAAGAGACCGTCACCAGAATTCTCATTTGTGTTGTAGTCTGGATGTTCATACTGCCCTACAGCATCATTAAGGGGGTTTGGGGAATTATGAGCGTGAGTGGCATCTTCGGTGGGGTCATCCTCTTTGCATTTGCCGTAATGTTGTTCTGCAACATCTCCGTCATCTGGGTCCTTCGTCACTCAGTGGCGGGAAAGGAAACAATGCACCCAGTAAAGAAGAGAGCCTTTAAGATGGTGCTGAAGAATTTGGGAATCATTGTCTTCAACTACCTGCCACCTGTGGCCTTCATGCCCTTTGTGTCTTATTACACGTATTTTGAGTACCGCTGTCAGATCAGCATCAGCGTGTTCTCCATCATGGATCTGAGCTGCAGCATTGAGCCACTGCTTTACGTCACAAAGATGGATGGACCGAATTGTATGTGCTGCAAGAAGGCCTCAGAAACGCCGACTGATGTCAAGGTTTAAACAATAAGCAAAGCTCTCCATATTTACTGACACCCCAATGGCAATGACATCTGCAAGGCTTAGAAGAAATTGTAGCTATGGAGACCAAGAGAAATACATCCACACATTTATTTAGTTAAAAGAAGGAGTAAAGTAAAACTTTAAAATTAGAAAATGTAATTCAAATAATATTTCAAATAGTTTTTTTTAGGTACAATTTTGCCCTGAACTTAGAAAAGATGCCATCTAATTGTTTTTTCTAAGTATTTTATTCTGATACAATGCTGCTGCAGTGAAACATTGATTGACTTTAAACCGTCTGACACACCTGTACCAATGATAGCAATAAATGTAGAGGGTATTGTAACTACCTTTGTTAGATTTTTTTTTCTTATGAAAGGAAAATATTTCTTTCTTACCTGGCAACGCTACTATTGTGTTTTTCATAACTGCAAATCCCCAAGTTTTACTTTGATCTGTTTTAGTGACTTGGATCGGATATTTTGTCCATCAGAAAGTGGTTCTTATTATAAATCCAATATGTATGTTGCAGCTGTAGATGAACAGATTTATGGGTGATGAAGAAGTTAATTTTTCTTTTTTTTTTTCCTCTATTAAGAATTTAGATGATTAATGCAATAAATCTGTTGTGTTACTCAACCACCTAATGAACATTTGGAATGTTTCAAATCAAGAATGGAAATAGGAAATATGCTAAAACAAGAACTGATTCAATATTTTAATTATCAAGAAAGAAAGCATTTTAATCTGATTCACATCCAAGTTGGGTTGAAAATTGTCAATAAATGCTGTGAAGATCACCTCTTCAAACTCTTTTTCTGTCTATATCGCAACCTGTGTAGACTTTTATTATATAGGTTTTATTTATACATTAAACTTAATGAGCATCAATCTAATTTTTACACAGGCAGATAAAGTTCATTCAAAACTAAAATTATTCAAAAACATTTTAATAAAGCATGCATTATTCTGTTTTATTTTACACAGTAAAAAAAAAAGATTTTTTTTTTATTTACATCTGTTTATTCGTTGGCAAAATCAAATAAATTAGGATTTAAAATATCAAAGGCTTTTTATTAAACCCTACTTCAGAAGGTAAAAAAAAGAAAAGACCTTTAGACAGATTTTTTGTTGATCTTTGCTGCTGCTGAACGTCTAACTGCAGGATGTTATGTCACTCTGTGAGGTATAATGATAGCCTGAAGCAGATTGGGATTTATAACACTTAACAGGCATTTCAATTTAGCTTCATGACTAGAGATGCTCAGTGGGACTAATTAGAAGTGATGTAATGAGTGGTCATATAGTTTATGTAATGTAGTTTATGTATAATGATTAACTAAACATCTAATTAAAAAAGAAATGCACCCATCTAATTATATATAGAAACAATTATCCTTGTTCAATTTAATTTGAAAGTTTTTTTGCATATGTTTGCAAGCATTGTGTTGAATATACAATACAGAAGTCAGAGTAGAAATTAAACTTTTTTTATTTTCAAAAATAGCTATTTTAAAGGCTGAATTAACTGACATGTTAGAGGTTGTAAACAGACAACATTTCCACATGTTTTCCTTTTAAACGTATTAAGATATTAAATTCTTCATATGGTCACAGACAGATTATTTATATGCATTTTCTGGATGAAAATATGCATACAGTTCTGATTGGTCAAAGAATCTGATAATGCAGATTAATAATTTTGTTTAAAATGATTTAGTTGGAATTAAAGTGCTTGCTTCTTTGTTAAGCTTTAGTGATCTTAGCATGCATCATCTTCAGGGTATCTGAGTCAGCCTCAGGTCCATCCTCTGAGGTGACATAACCAGGGTAAATGGGGTGGAACTCCGTAGACCGAGGTGCTGCAGCATCTGAAGATGCCCCTGATGATGAAGGTTGCAGCAGCGGTATCAACTTGGCGTGAGCGTAGTCGATTTCAAAACCTTCGAAGATAAGCCCCACCCCCCAGGCACCGAGTCCCTCCTCGAGAAGCAGCGATACCTTCTTGGTGGCCAGCACCAGAGCTTCATAATCCCCTCTATCTAATCTAAATATGTCAGAGGTCAGAGGTCGCCGTGGAACCAGCACAGTGAAGCCGGGGGAGTTGGGGAACGGGGTGAGAAAGGCGACATGGCTTTCATCCTCCCACACACGCCACTGCTGCTCCTCCCCACGAACGATGCGTGAGAAAAGGCCGGCGTGAGCTGGATCTTCCCCAAGGAAGGTATGGTCAGGCGGGGCGTCGGGGAGCAGCAGCTTGGCTCTGATTTTGTGCTGAATCTCAGTCAGGCTGGCATCACTCCATCGGGGTGCAGTCTTGGAGGTGCAGTACCCCGGGTCATGAGCATTGTGCTCCTCTTCTCCAGCCAGGTGGGGGCGCCACTCGACATCCAGACCATGAAGTGGCAGGACACGGATCTGTAAAATATGATCCAACTGCTTTAATTTAAAACACACAAAAATCCTTAATTCTACTAAAAATAATGAACCATAATACAAGATACTAATAAGCTGTTATAATAATCTAGTTTTATCTGTTTAGGATAGACCTAAGCAAAATATTTTGATAAGAAACTGCTAAATCTAATAGAGTTCTAAGGTAGAGATGCATAGATCCAGGTTTTTCCAACCCAGTCCGATATCAATACTTGAGCTGAGCGCATCGGCCGATATTGGATACTTATCAGAGTCGACTGCTGAATGAACGAATCATAAACCCCGCCACGTGAGTGAAGGCTTTAGCCTTGAAATATACATTGTTGACAAAAGGTAAGAAATGATTTATTAACAAATAAGTAGTAAAAAGAAAGAAATAAGAGTTATTAAAGTGCACTGGATTGTATCTCATTTATCTGATCCTTATAATTAGTCAAAATCGGAGCTGATATTCAAACCAGGTATCTGATAGGAAGAAACTTTGTTAAGTAGAATATTAACGTTTAATTGTTCTGCTTAGCTGGTTAACGAATGGCACCCAAAATACCCCCATCAGTAGTTTCAAAACTTAATTAATAGATAGAGCTCATCTAGTTTGGCCTAACATTTACTTTACAACAGGAACAGCTTGACAGATGTGTCTTTTGAAGTTTGCATTGATTGTTTTCTAAAAAATGACCTTAATAGGAGTGGTGGCTTCTCACTCTCTCACTGTTTTTATGTCAAAAACATGCTTCTAAAGAGCTAAATCTTTCTTTTCAGGAAACAAAGTAAAAGTGTTGTATTGTCTTTTCCATTTAATGGGTGGGGGAGTTTTGATAGTTGGTTAATTTATACTTCAGATAGCAAGAAAAAAAAATCCAATCACTTTTGCACATATGCCTCTCATTCTGAAGGACCTTCCTCCATAGTAACACATAATATATATATATATATATATATATATATATATATATATATATATATATATATATATATATATATATATATATATATATATATATATTTATATATTATTTTTAATATTAGCAAAAACTTTAAATCTTTGTATTCTCTCCCTAGTTTTACTTCACAGTAATTGTCACCTGAGTAGGTCTGTCTCTGTGGGGTCTGCTGATCAGAGCACACCTCCTCACCCCCAGCCGATCACACAGCAGCTCAGCTACGGTCCTCGCCCCCAGCAGCCAGGTTAGATACTCTGACTCAGTGAGGTGGAAGATGCTGCCTCCCTGCCTGCATGGGGCACTGCTCTCCAGGATCACAGAGCCTGGGGTCCAGGGTTTGGGATTTAGGTAAGCCACCAGCCCCTCCGACTGCCAGATTACATGACGGCAAATAGCGGAGGACATGCTGTAGAGTCAGGAGATAAAAGAAAAAAATAAGGTTTGAAACAAATGTCAATTTGTATTTTAGATCAATTCCATCTTAGATAAAACAGGATTCAGCAGAATTTTAATAAACAATGAAATAATGTAGCTTAAAAGTATAATAAATATGAACAGCTCTGAACTGAAACACATGGGAAGCCTCTTCTATAAAAAATAGAAGAAAAGCAGAGATATGACACCAAACACTTACATCTGTCGAAATTTCATTTTGAAACTCCTCATGACTCAGCTTACAGTCATCGTACTTCCAGGCCACAAGACTGAACATTTCCCACATTAGATCAGCACATGTGACTGATGATTGGGGGGGATCATCTAGTCTATGCATTTGCACTTTGGTTTCAAATAACAACTAATTAATAGATAAGTAACTAAAAACCAACTAGGAGATTTATGGAGAATGATCTTCATGACAGAGGCCCATCAATAATAAATGTCAGTCTTCTGTCTAAAGCTCCTAATGAGCTCAAATAACCTCAATAACAGGAGGATTTTACTACAGAAATGTGTTTTTCTTTTGTTATAAAGTTTGATCTGGTGTAAAAAAAAAAATGGAAGTTTAAAAAAATTGTAATACTCTGTTAGTAACACAAACTTAATTTAACAAGGAAGAAAAATGAATGACAGGCTCTGATTAAGGCTGGGTTAAAGCAGCAGGTTTCCTACACCAGTGTCTGCATTGATCATGATGCAAAAAAGAACCATCATGAAGTTAAAGTAAAGACAATGTTGACAAAGGGGCAATAATTAGGGCATAAAGAGCCTATAAGCTCTCGGATCGCAGAGAATATTAGTGACTTGCAGGCAAATGAAGCATTTCATGGCTGTATTTGAAAACAAATTTGTTTTATTTCCGATAGAATAATATTTTTTATATCTAAAGGCGCATATTTAGCTGTGATTTCACAAAGTCATCAGCTGGAGGTTGCTGTAATGAGTCAGAAGTTCAAAGATTGGACTTACCTGCAGAATAAAAGCCTAACTCTGCAGGAATTAAATACCATCCAAGAGGTAAACCCTGCAACTATTTATTCAATCCGTCTGGAAGGTTTGTGCAAAAACACAAAAGGTGAAAATATTCAAGGCTTCCGGCAACAGATGCCTAAGACTGAATGTTCGCTGTGCCTAAAGGAACAGGCGACATCAATGTGTTCATGGTTCATATCGGTTCAGAGACAGCAGAGCGGACTCAACCTAGCGCGAGGCATCACAGGAACCGGAAGTAACCAACCGGTAGCAAATAACAGACTGGGTGCTAAAGTAGCGAATGCACCGTGGATGCCTCTTAAAGGCGGGGTAGAAGGTTTTGATTTATCTGGGGGGTAGAGACAGCAGAGCTAACCCGCTCTTAAAAAAAATAATAAAATATGAGAACATTTTTAACTGACTGAAAATCAAAGTAAACGTGTCTATTTTTTCTACAGCCCCCCCTACTGCTCAGATGGAAATATGACAGCTGGTAATCTTATTATCAGAGCACTAACAGCCTATTAATGCATCAAATATCCTCAGGAAAACATAATTGAAAATGACAATAAATCACTTATTATTCTCTCAGAGGTACAGAGGTCTTAAACATGTATACTTTGGAATATAATTAATAAGATTTAGCTTATTAACAGTATAAATCTGATACATGGACTGAGCGTATTGGCCGATATCTGATTTAGATCAGATACCACTGTTGAGTCAATTGCCCGCAAACTACTTGAGGAAAAGAATCATGCTTGACATAAAAATTGTCAAAAGAAAGTAAAAAATATTGGAGGGGTCTGAAATTGTCATCGTAGGTGCATGTCCACTGTGAGAGACATGATCTAAAAAAAAAAAATAACAGAAATCACAATGTATGATTTTTTTATTATTATTATTTATTTGTATAATACAGCTGGAAATGCGTATATGAACACCTGAGAAAATCAATGTTAAAATTTGGTACAGTAGCCTAAGATTTTAATTCCAGAGGTCAAACGTTCCCTGTGGTTTTCACCAGGTTTAGATACACTGCAGGAGGGATTTTGGCCCACTCCTCCACACAGATTTTCTCTAGATCAGTCAGATTTCTGGGCTGTCACTAAGAGACACAGAGTTTGA